GAGAGGCTATGTATGGTGATGACCCTATAGTATTAACTGATCTTAAAAGTGAACTAGACTATGTGAAGAATCTCATGGAGAGACGTGAAATAGAAGAAACAACTTTCACCGAAGGAAATGATGGTACAGTGAACATTTCAGGACCATCAGGAAGCACAACCACCCCGGGAGTAGATTTCGTAGAAGATCCAAACAATGTACTTCCAGACGTACTAGATGCATTCAACGAATCATTTGACGCTGACTGGGACGAAATAGAAGCCCGCCTAGAGAAACTAAATAAGATTTCAACAGAAAATAAAAAGAGAGATTTTGAAAACCAGGTGGAGCGTGTTCAAGCTGTCACAAGAGTTATAAAGGGCAAGGAGGGACTGATACTGGATCCTAGGAATAGATACGTCAGAGAACTCATAAAACGATCATCTGTAAGAACACTCAGGGATGGCACAGAGGTGTTGGTATTTAGAAGTGAACAAGGTATTGATAAAAGTGGGACACAAATATTTAAACGTGGTAAGACAAGCAAACTCGTTTACTCCAAGAACTCCACTGCCCTGAGAGAATATAAGGAACTTATAAAGAAAATAAAAGAGGTACCTACGAATCCTGACAATATAATTGGAAGTGATGAGGACACTAGAGAAGAGCCGCAATTTGATAGCAGTGACGAGGAATACGCTGACCGTGAGAATATTGAGTTAATAGACATAAGTGCAAGATTGGGAGATCTTCCTGGGTTAACAATGCAAGAAAACAATGAACTAAGAGGTGTTCTTAACCCACCTGATGGATCAAGCATAGAAGGTAGAACAGGTCCCAATGGAGCGTTGCAAATACAAGCTGACTACTTTAACGAAGCTATTAATGAAACCGTGAAACAAGCCGGCTCTGTGGAAGGTGTAACTGAGTACAATGCTCTTATAGAAAGAATTGATAGTCTAAAGGAAGCTAGGGATAGGACACTGGAGCAGAGAGTAGTAGAGGAAGCAAGAGAGGCACAGTTGGAAGATATTTCTAGATTACGTAAATTTATAGACTGGGTAGGAAAGGAAAAAGTGGGACTTGTAGGGATAGCAGTGTCAACAGCAAGTTTAATTACAGCATTATTAATCCATGCTAGGGGAGCCATTGTTAAGACAGTAAAGACCACTGGTATGGTAGCAAAAGCATTAGCAAATTTAGCAAAGAAAGCAGGGCCAATTTTAGTTCCAATCCTGAACGCAGTTGCAACTGCACTATCCTGGGGAGCTAAAGGAATTGCCTGGTTAGCGTCACACTTATGGGTACTAGCTGTAGCTGCGGCCTTAATAGTATATAATTATTACACAAAGTAAAGTAGCTATGGAGAAATACCAAGAGAAATACGATGACCAGAGAATGGAGGAGTTGAGGGAAAAGTATCCGGACTATGAAGAAATGGATACAGAAACTTTAGATGATGAATTACTATATCTTGACAAGGATCTTATGGAAAGCGAAACCGCTGAGGAGACCCAGGATATTAACGAGGAAATTAATTATGTACTCGAACTAAGAAGGAGAAGGGAAGTACCAGGCGAAGACCAAGGTGAGGACCCAAGTGAAGACCTTACACGAGAGCAATTAGCGGAAAAGTTTCCTGACCTATTTAATCTGTCATATGATGAGCTAATGGATAGGGGAGACAGACTGTTAAATGAACTAATACTATCCAGTTTGGACGAAGAAGATTTCAAAGAAAAGTCGGAAGAACTGAGGTACGTTAGAATGCTATCAAATGATTACCAAAGAGAGTCAAACTTAAATAAACTTCTCAACTTAAGAGACAAAGTGAAAAAGAGGGATCTCATTAAACGGGATGATCGTAGGAGACTGCAGAGGCTCAGGTTATGGGCAAGGGAGAATGCAGGCATCTTATCAGCTGTCCTAATTTCCTCATCAGCCATAATCATAGGACTGGTAGCATCAACTAGAAATATATTATGGAAAGTAGGTGACACAACAGGAAAGCTCGATAAGCGAATCAGCGAGTTGGTAAACAATCAAATAGAACTACCACCTGTATTCCAGAAGATAGCCGATGGAGTAGAGTTAGCAGCGGATAATATATGGATAATCATTGTATGTGCAGCAGCAGTTTTATTATACATATATAGCTAAACATTACATATTGTATACAAGTATGAATACCACAGAAAGAGAACTAAAGCCTGGCTTCAGGAGGAGCCACATGACATCTATAAGGGGACCTAGGACCCTAAACGTTGTAACTTTTAATCCAACAACTATTAGCCCAGGTGAAGAGCTGTACATTAACATCCCTAAACTAAAGCCTGACTATTGTTTAGTCCCAGGATCACTTGCACTATTATTTGACTTCAAAAATTCCAATACAAAGAGTCGATTTAATAATAACCTGGCTAAGTTGATAGCTAAACGTCTTCAAATTAAAGTAGCAGGTGAAACAGCTTATGACTGTTCAGGAGAGAGTTTGTACGAAATATACAAAGATCTATGGCTAACAGTTGGTGACAGGAAAAAGATGACCGAACAGGGTCTCGCAAGTGAGAATCTCAGGAAGTTAATCTCAGGTGACGATTCAGGAGTAAAAGCAGGTGATACCAATAAAGTAGCAGATGCACTTCTCCACAGTGTGTACGGTTCTAAGCTGAGAAAACCAATTGATAAAATAATTGCAGACCATGGACTCTACACACCGTTCTCCATGAATAACAATCCTATGTACATCCTTACACTCCCGCAATCAGATGAAATTATGACTGCCCAAGGAGGTGAAGCTAAGGGTAATTATAAACTTGATAATCTTGAGTTAGAATACGAGACCATTGAGAATGACAACCTTGCGAGTGAAGTATCAAGGATGTATTCAACAGGCCGCTCACTGTCCTACAAACACGTCACTCTTATGCGCACGAGTAATTGGGACAAAGATCTTACCATTGTTAATGAGAATATCAATATCCCCAGAAAGAGCATGTCAGCAATTGTCCTTCTATTTACCAATAGAGTGAGAACTGATTCTGAAGAATATATTTACCCAAACATTGATAAAGTGAACCTGACCATTGAAGGTGTGCCTAATGCAGTTTTCTCCCAAGGACTTCCTAAAAATAGGTTCTTCGAAGAGGCAAAACGATTTTTCTGCCCTATGTGTGAGAAATCCATGGCAGATGAATTTATGTCCATCAGTAAGTTCTTCAGCAATGGTTTCGCTCTAGTAATTGATCTTAGGTCAACACAGGATGATACCACTGGTGGAGGAAGGAGAATTGTTAACACACAGTCAGGCGTGCTCATGGAAATCAAAAAGAGAGCCACAACAGCTGACGTTCAATGCAATATTTTTATTGTATCAGATGCCCTCCTTAACTTTGCCAATAGAGATTTATCAAGTATTCAATACTAACTGAGCTAGTACTAACGGTAAAGCATAGAGATGCAACTTGAACCACCATTCAACATGCTTATAGTAGGAATGACAGGAAGTGGTAAAACTCAGTTCTTACTAAATATGTTAGAAACGGAATACAATAAAGTTTTTGATTACATTGTGATTATATGTCCAACAATAGAATGGAATATGACTTACATTAATTGGGCTTATATTAGTGATCACGGAGTCATACAAATTCCATATTCACAAGAAATGATCAATCTAGTTCTGAAGGCAGTGTCCACCATATTTCGTGGAACTCAAACTCTCATTATAGTGGACGATTGTGCAGCAAGTCAAGATGTAAAGAAAAGAGTCTCAGAACTGGTGCGCCTAGCTTTCTCCGCAAGACATTACAACTTATCTGTTATTGTAATTACTCAGCAACTGTCCTCAGTAGCAAAACCATTCAGGGAGAACATTTCCAGGTTAGTTACATTCTACAACCCTGGTTGCAGGGATATGAAGGTCATAACAGATGATTACCTAAGTGGTGTTCCTCAGGAGACAATTACAGAGATAACACAGGTACTAAAAGATGAGAAGTTCACCGCATTAGATATACTCCTCATTCACCCTTACACATACACTATCAAACAAAACATCACGTAGAATATAAAAGATGGGATCTGAATTTGATGAAGAAATATCTGCAGCTGTGAGGGAAGTAGAAGAGGCCGCAAAGGCACCGCAAAAGAAAGCTAAGTCTACCGCAAGAAAAACCGCAGATAAGTCGCAAACTGAAAGTAAAAGAGACAAGCTTATAGAGCTATCTAAGGATGGTGTAATAGAGAAGTCCGCAGGTTTTATAAGAAAGTCCAACAAGGATGTTGTGGATAGACTATACCACGAGTATGAAAGTCAAAGGATGTCATGTGCAAGTGACTTCTTATCAACTCTTATTATCTCAAAGTTTGCTTCCGTATTAGGAAGTTTTGGTGCAGTGGAATCATCAGACAAGCTATCAGAGGAACTACTTAGTGATAAACTTTTAAAGGATGACGTATCATATCTAACAAGAACGATATCCCCAAACATTCCGTTCATAGGTTTAATATCAGGTGGTTGTACAACAGCTAAGCACGTTGTTGCTCATAAGTGGAAAAAGAAGGAGGAAATATCTGAGGAAGCTAAACATATACTATTACATAGTGAAGAAGAATGCCACAACTCGGAGAACCCTACGACTGGGGAAACGCCTGGGATGGAACGGAATTTGAATCAATAATTGATGAATTGATTGAGAAAACTGATAGGAATAGGGAACAGCTAGATAAAATTCAGGCAACCTTGGACTCACTAAAGAGTGATTATAATTCCCTTAAGAATAAAGTAGTAGGTCCACTAAGGTACGAATTCAAAGCTTTTAAAACTGACACAATTAAAACAGTTGTAAAGATATATAAGAATCTAAATGAAACGCATTAGGCAAAATAATTTTTTGTAGTGGGATTAGTGGACATTAGTGGAGCAGCTGGGTGGGTAGAGGGAATGCTGCTTCATAAATTAGATTTAAATGGTACATAAAATAGCCGTGGAAATTTTTACATATATAGTATAGAGAAAGATGGAAAAACTATTCAGAAACCAGAAGCTGAATGCTAGTGTGAGAACTGTGAGGTGGGGTGAGGAGATCCTGTTTTACGCAAAAGACGTGGCAGAATCTCTAGGGTACTCAAACGCAAAGAAGGCCACCCAAGTTAATGTATGGAAAAAAAATAAGGTAACACTTAAGGAACTCGAGGGTGGGACCCTCGAGGGTCCCACCTTCAACTACCAGCCAAACTGTGTTTTCCTAAGGGAACAGGGTCTATACCAACTGATATTCAAATCCAGACTTCCAATAGCAGAGGCCTTCCAAGACTGGGTAGTAACAGACGTCCTCCCATCTATCCGCAAAACAGGCTCGTATGAATTACCAGATAGAAGGTCACTCAGATATAACCAAATAATCCTTATAAATGAAACGGACCTTCATCACGCAGTTGTGAGTTACATTAGGGATAACTACCCAGAGGCTGTAATTATACCTGGTCTAGGTGAGTACCAGGATACTATGTCAAAGAGATGTGACGCCTGGAAGAAGGGATATAAAGGTGGTCAGCCAGATCTTATCATAGAGAATCCTATGGGGAAGTACAAAGGATTTGCCATTGAATTCAAGTCTCCTAAGGGCACTGGGGTTGTGAGTGAGAAGCAGGTAGTATGGTTTCGTAAGCTTATGGAAATAGGGTATATGGTAATGATATCCGACGACTTGATAAAAACTTGTATTAGAATTAATGAGTACTTTTCACTTAAGAAAACTGTGAGGAAAGTTGCAGTGAAAAGTACCGCTAGTGATGCGAAGACTTACAGGCCAAGGTTCAATTCAGATAAGTACTAGCTGCGCTAGCAGCGTCTACTGACGCAGTCGGTACTAGGTGTAGTCGGTATGTAGTCATCTACATAGACATCTACATAGACATCTACATAGACATCTACATAGTCATCTACATAGTTAAACATATGGTACCTATATAGAATGGCCGACGAACCTACTACGAAGGAAGTTCCCATTACAAGTGAAAAGAAGAAGGACCCTAAGAGGGTAGAGGCCGGAAAAAGGCTAGCGATCCTAAGTAAAGCTGCAAGGGAGAGGAAAAAGAAACTTACAGAACCTAAGGAGTCATCCAACAACAACATAATCACATATGTAGGAGTGGCCATCGCATTGATATCCCTTGCTCTAGCATTTGATCAGCGTCAGAGGGAAACAAAGGAACCGGAACCTAAGTACATCCCTGAAACTGTAGAAGTAACCAGGAAACCCGATGCACCTAAGTTAGATTCACTTGAGTAATACGTTAAACATAATATATATTATAGCAAGATGAGTAAAGAATCAAAGATGACCGCAGAAGTGTACAACGCAGTGTTACTTACAGCAGGAGCAGTCGGTATATCAATGGCATCAAAAAAACTATTGAAAGAACCGTTAGGAACCCCGGAGAATGTAAAAGGAATGGTAAAGCTGGCTGTCTCAGTTTGCCTTTCATCTCTGCTGGTCTCTTACCTGAAAGAAAAGAAGTACATACCAGATGATCCATTCAAAACCTAGGTAAAACTATACAATGGCGGAAGCAGTAGCAGGAGGATTATTTAACGCATTCGCATTTGCTGGAGCGGGATATCTATTTAAAATGTTTGACAAGAATGGATACGCTGAGGAAGCCCACAGACACAATATTGCGATGGAGAACCTAACAGCTGAAAGAGAGAAGTACCTTGAAGAAGTCACCGATAGAAGAAACAGACTTGCGCAACTTAAGGCCGAACTAAGTGAGGCAAGTAGGGATATTAACGCAACAAATAAGTCATTGGAACTTATAAGGAGAATCAACGAGCTAACACATACAGCTATGCCAAGAAAGCCGCAACTAAGTAACCACTACAACCCTAGCTTAGAGATGGAAGAATATATGGCATTATTCGGTTTAATTATGGGTGGGGTGGTTGGAGGGGCAGCTTATTTAATACTGTAAAAATATTAATTTAATACGGCAATAAATTTTTACACATATATTGTAGAGAAATGGACTGGCTTGCAATGGTAGACGTTGACGAGGTAATAGCCCTTGGTAAAAGGGTGGACACTACAGAGGAGTTGGAGGATGCGGTTAAGAAATATGTAGAACTGAGAATAATAAGGAGACGTAAAAACAGACAACAAAAACAAGCAAAATATTTTAACACACATAGTATAGGGAATGGACTGGCTGACACTGGTAACACCTGATGAAATGGAAAGAGTCGGTAGGAGAGCAAAAAACATCGAGGAGCTGGAGACCGCAGTAATGAAATACGTGAGAGGTAAAATGAAGGTTGTACATACATACGAACCGGAATGTGTTGAATGTGGTAGTAAGTCTATTGTAGTAATAGATGGAGCAGATGTATGCACACAATGTGGTACAAGTGATAGGAATGGCTTTACATACTATGTTAGTTACAACCACAACAAGGACGACTACCTGAAAAAGAAGTCTTGTCATAATAGAGTCCGTTGGTTTGAGAGACACTTATTAGAGCATGTTGCTTCAGGGGATAGGGATACCATACGGGAGCAGTTTAGAAGCATCGTAAGATGTATACAAAGACTTAGACTGCAAAGGGGGCGCAACATAGTTAGATATAAGTTTTACCTACTGAGGATAGCCAGCATGAACAACATCACGTTAAGAAACCCTCCTGAGGACATTAAGACCAAAAGAATTGTGGACATCCTTGAGAATAGGTTATATGGTAAGGTCTTCCCCGAGTTGGGATGGAAACCTATAAATTGTAAATATTATAATAACTGGAAATTAAAGAATAAATTATAAATTAAATAAAATATAAAATTATAAAATTAAACAAAATATAAAATTATTAAATTACATAAAATATTAAATTATTAAATTAAATGTTAAATAAATTAATGAATTAAATAGCCCCTTAATTGGGGCTATTTTTTTTTACCTATAGTATATAGAGAAAGAGTGAAAAATGGCGAACAACTTTGACATGAACGACATGACCGTTGAACAACTTATGGCACTTAGTGAGATAATCGATGGCAGCGACTATGAAGGAAATCTTGAGGAGGAAGTGGAGAAAATCTTGGAGGATAAGTTCTACCGTGTTGCACCTAAGGATAAGGGAGAGAACGTACACACGGAAGAGAAACTATTCATTGATGAAGGTGATAGAGCTACGGATCCCAAGAGACCAAGAAGACTTCCACTAAACTACAAGGGTAAGAGAGGAATAATGCCAACATGAAAATATTCCGAGAGGCAGAATGCAAAGGCCCTACTAGTCGAGGAAGCCTATCAGAGCTTACTAAGTAGAGGAGTTGAAGGTCTACCACCAACAATGGGAGGTAGATGGAGAACGGACGATCCTCAGGTAAACGCGGAGATGAAGAGGCTCGAAAACCTTAGAAATCCCAAGCGTCCTAGAGGTAGACCACCAAAGGTCAAGGCTGATGGCGAAGTAACCCCCAAAAGAAGGGGTAGACCACCAAAGACCAAAGAAGTTAAGGTTGCCAAAAGGAGAGGTAGACCACCAAAGGCTAAGGTGGTTGAAACTCAAGAAGTTACGGTTCCTAAGAGGAGAGGTAGGCCACCAAAGGCTAGGGTAGTAGAAACACCGAAACCTAAGGTTAGAAGACAGACTGTCGCAGAAAGGTTCATAAGCCAGGGTCGAATAAAACTTTCAGTTCCTGCGGATAGTGTCATAACACAGGTGGGACCAAATAAGTTCACGGTGACAGTGGATCTCAGCAGAAAACCTACAAGGAAAGCTCCTGAGGTGCCAAAAGGTGTGACTCCATGG